GACCTCTATAAATGCCCTTTGCCTCCTACCTCTTTCCTCTATTTCCTTTGACTTTCCTCTTGTCCCACTATCATGTTCAGTCTTCATTTGGGTTTCAGTAATTCCTCTTGGTTACATCACCCTTGATCACACCCTACCAGGCCTCTTACACCGTCCTCACCACCCATTTGGATCACTTGTTTCCTTGTCCCTGGGTTTGTTAACACCACTACCTTTTCTCCCATGTCCCCTCAGAACTATTGGTATGTTGTTTTCTCCTCCAGATTGTTCATCCAGCCTATCTTATTTAGACAGACCTGTGGAGATAATAACATGCACAAAAACAAGACAGAGCAAAATCGAACAACAATATAAAACAAAACAACAACAAACCAATGACAATAAAACACAACAAGAAAGAAAATCTTGTAGTTAGTTCAAGGATTGTTTGTTGGCCTGTAGGAGTGTTTCCCAGTCCAGTCTGTTGGACTACCAAGCCCTGGCCCCGAAGTCCACCTTCGGCATGCCCTGGGGACCTCACCGTTCCATTCCCTTGCTGTTCCATTCCCTTGCTTTTCTGTTGCACCCCCTTAGTGTTTTGCCTCGGTGTGGCGGGATCAGATCGGGTGCATTTCCCACACTGTATCTCCAGTGTTGTCCCCTGTAGGGCTATGGGTCAGTGAGGGACGTCGTGTCTCATAGTGGGGCCAGCCATGCGGTCCTCTCTGTGGACTGGCTGCTCTGAGCGGGAACATCATCCTCAAGGCCTGGTAGGCCAGGATGTCCTCGACACTCTCCTCCCCCATCGTCTGATCCTGTGTGCTCCAATCAGACATGTGCCTCTCCCAGAGCTGCAGATTCAGTGCCGTCCTCTGAAATAAATTCTTCTGGCGGAGGGGCAGGGGTCCTCCTTGTTGGGATTGGGGCCGGCCCCTCAGACCTCTCCCCTGGTTCTCTACTCCAGCTGGCATGTTGCATTCACATCTTGGAGCACTGGGTTGAAGTCTGGTCCCTCTTTCCCTGTGGAGATATAAGCAGTACCCTCCCCTTGGGTGGGTTAGTGCCCTGTACCTCCGGTACCCTTTGTTTTTTTCCTTTCCCCACCTCCTTTTTAGTTGGCTACCATATGTATCCTTGGATTTGGTCTGGTCCCTACCATACTACCTGG